AGAGAGAGAGAGAGAGAGAGAGAGAGAGAGAGAGCAAAATAAATCCAATCCGGAAAACAGAATATTCTTTATAGTCTATAGTGTATAGTATAGCAGATATTATTTTGCAATATTTTATTTTGTAAAAGAGATGATGGTTGAAGTTGTTTAGACCCATAATATACTACCATATACTGTATTTATACCTTATTTTAACGTTGACTTTACTAGTGTTTATGTGGAATATTTCTGGGATAGTTTCAATCAAATATACTTGAAAAGGCGTTATTACATGTATTATGATAATAATCATGGGATTTTTCTTGGAAATTTATAAATGTAACTTTTTTGACATAATATACGCTAAACTATTTGAAACAAAAAATGATTGAAACTTTTTTACGTCATAAAAGTAAAGTATTAGAGATTATAGTGGAATATAAGTCTATTTACCTGAAGTTATTTATTATAAATATTTTATTTTATGAGTTTTTATGTGATTATTTATATTACTCTAATTTTACATATGTTTAAAATTATTTTAATAATTTGAATATAATATTTTAATCAACATTTCATTTATTTTATCATGTAGAGTCTACATTGTAGACAGTGAAATAGTTTACTAATAACATTATATTATTGTACAATAATTTATACGGCTACTAACCATGCTTGACTTATAAAATAGATAACCTTTCACGCGAGCAACAATGTAATAGTATTATTATTTTACAATTGTAGAAAATCTCGGTAAAAATCAATTTTATCCTTATTGAATTCTGTAAAAAAGTGAATGGTAGGTGAAATATCTGCACATTTATACAATAATATATACCCAGTAGTAACCCATGTGGGAGGGAGGGGTTGATTTAGTGCCGACTCACATACGCGGATACTTTATTGTACTGCACCACTAGTGCTGAATAAAATATGGTAAGAAATAAAATCTAATAATACATATATGTAAGAATTGCATTGAATATAGGAGAGCACATACAATGCAGTGTACAGTATATGTTAGTACACAATAGTATTGTGTATTAGAATTGCATTTAGTTTTATTGCCGCACGAATTTCCAGTAGAGAATAATTGTATTGCCATTGCATTTACGTGAGAGAGAGAGAGAGAGAGAGAGAGAGAAGTAAAGTAGTCTAGTTTGTTAAATATGGCCACTACTGTACTCGTATCTTACCCTAAGTGATTGATATATACTTTTGGGACATATTTCTGAGTATGTGCGCGTAGGCCAAGTCCTGGCCATTGAGGTATGAATTGCAATAAAACAATACATAATATTATATATAATACACACAATTATTATTAAGTTAGTATTATTAGTGTTATTAGTGTTGTAAAGAATATTCCCTTATATCTAATTTATATAATGTATAAGAATGTTGTTTTATTCTATGGTATAAAATAGCAATATTTTAATCGTAAAATTTATGCGTAAATTTTTATATATGGTTAAATATTTTAATTGTATTTAGTTTAAAAATTAACGTAACTACATATTGAAAAATATTTAATTATATTTATAAAAATGTAATTTTTTAAATTGAAACAAATTTTTTTTATATTTAAATGTTATAAATTCAATGATGTTTAGATATCAAAATAATTAATTAGACAAACAAATATAAGCAACTATACAACTTGGTAAATATATATTTACAGCCTTTAAACTCCACTATCATTAGCATGATACTTTAACACTGGTTATAAAGATTATTACAAATAACAATTAAATAATTGATCATTTTAAATTATTATAATTATTTTTATAATGTAAACTGTAAATTATTTATAAAATAGCTATATTTATTACTATAACAAAATTGTATAAAAACATTGGATTGTAACCAAACCCGAGTAAATTTACCTATTAAATATTGTATAATTAAAATATTGAATAATAATTTTCCATAGTTTTGACTGTTTAACTAGAGAATTTGGTTTTAAAGTTTATAGCAGTTATGAATGGTTACATGTTTTAAATATTATATTACAAACAAATAGTAATTTACAAAATTTATAAATAAATAAATATTTTATCAATTTTATAAAACATTAGTTCAGTATATTTTAACAATAAAACAACCTACAGTATTATCAAATAATTAATATTAACATTTACCGGTACATTAAAACTGTAAATGTATTGTAAATTATCAATATTAATTACTACATATTGTTGATCCTAAAATAAAAGGAATAAAAAACCGCCAAATATGGTAATTTAAATTTACCAACTTTATTTATAAAAAAAATTAAATAAATGAGAAAAGTGTGTAAACGGCAAATATTATATGGATATCATTTAAGTATTACAAGAAATAATTTTTATTAAAAAATTATAGTTTACAAATAACGTCAATAAGTACAAATTAAAATTTACATGTTAATATATTTTATATTAAATAATTAATAAAAATTTTGTTGTGCATAGAATATATTAATTTGATTTACCATTGAATCTCTAACCATAACAGGATTACTAAAACTGCAACACCTGTTCTCTCTGGTGGACCAAAACCGTACTTTAGAGCTCCGGGCAGTGAAACGGTTTGCCAACAGTACCGAAGCCAACGAATATCTGCGAGACATTGAGTTTAATTCGACGAATGACCGCAAATACGTGATACTCGAGTGCGACGCTCACACCGCCAAACAGATCATCATAACTCATGTCAGGGATATTTATATGGGCAAGCGTAATTTTCATTTCTTGCTCACCAGCTTGGTGATGGACGATTATTTAAATGAAAAAGTGAGCGAGTTCGGCGCCGTTAATATTACAGGGTTTCGCATATTAAAGCCCTCTACACATGAGTTTAGGCAATTTTTTAATCATTGGCGTAAAAGTGATTCGACCGGTGTTAATGGCGATGGTAGTGGTGGAAAAGCAATTGTATCGGTAGGTCATAATTATTAATGATCTTAATGTGTGATATTAGATTGGTCATTTAATCAAGTTTAACGATTGATTGTTTATGTTTGTTTTATATTTGTTTAAACTGTTTAATTTAGTTTATTATACAAATAAGCACATGTCCGTTGTAGGATAACAACTCAAACAATGTTCAGATATAAACTGTCATGATAAATAAATTGTCGTTTTATTTACACAGATAAATATTTAACAACTAAAATATTGGATTGCAATTAGAATTAGTTATTGAACACTATTTAAATTTTTAAAATTTTAAAAATATTAACAAAACGAAATTATACCATGTAATAGATATATCATATTAATTAATAAATATAAAAATATAGGCTGACGCTGCCATGATGTACGATGGTGCCAAGGTACTTTTGGATACTTACCAACGTCTATTGGCCCGTCATGGTGATGCATTCAGATCGGCATCTCGTCGTGGTGAAATTTACAGTTCAGGTTCAAAAGGCATAGACTGCCGATCAGAGCCAATTGCACAATGGGAGCATGGTGATAAAATTAAGAAATTTATGCGCAAGGTAGTATAGTTATTTTAGTAAATTCTATATGTAAAGTGTGAAATTATATAAATTAATTATGTTTTATTATTATTATAGACTAACATTAATGGCCTGACCGGAGTACTATCGTTTGATGATCATGGTTATCGGCAAAATTTTTCAGTCGACGTGGTAGAAATGACAATTAATAGCGAGATGGCCAAGGTGATTAGATAAGAAATTTTTAATTTAATATAATTAATTAGTAAAAATAATGTTGTATAATTACCATGTTATCGAAGCCAGCCCATTTATTTAGCCAAATTTTGTAATTGTCTAATTATTGTATTATTTAATTAATAAATTGCAGCTATTAATGTGAGTATAAGAATTATACACGCATTCCATAAATAATTATATGATAATTACACAAATTAAAACATTTAAAATATCATAAACTTCCTATCAACAATTATATTTATAAAAATTATCAGTGACAAATAGTTAATATAATGCAATATTTAAAATCAAAATTTATATAATTAGAAAAGCATAATCTAATTTTAATAGATGGAACAATTTTATGTAGTTTAAAATTTATTAATGATTATTTTGTTTACCAATATGAAGTACAAATAAAATTGATATCTAATATAAAGGATTCATTACTTATAAGTTACAGTTTTATTATAAATTATGAGCATTTATTAAATTGGTAAACCTTATCTTATATTTTAAATGCAAGCAAACTTTATATATTTTAAGCATTATAAATATAAATATTACGCAAATAAAATTATCTTATTGTAAATTATAAATAGTGAAATATAACAAATTTATAATTACAAACAATATATAATGTATGTTTTGTTATTACCAATAAATAGATCGCTCAGTGGACACAAGAAAAGGGTCTGACTATAGTTCCCGCTAAATATCACCGAGTTTTACAGGAAAGGACCAAGTTTGATAATAAGACTTATATCGTGACATCTATATTGGTACATATAAAATCTCTCTCTCTCTCTCCCATTATAATAATGATAATTAATAGGAGGAGCCATATCTGATGTATAAGGCAAAAGAGAAAGGTGTAGTGAATGAGGGGAATAATCGGTTTGAGGGCTACAGCAAAGATCTGGCTGATCTCATATCAAATAACCTGCAAATCAATTACGAACTCCGATTAGTTAAGGACAGTAAGTACGGGGCACTCGATGCCAATTCTCATCAAGGCTGGAATGGTATGGTTGGCGAGTTAATCAGACACGTGAGTGTACTTTATTTAGAATACATCGAAATATCTAATTTTCATAAAACATTATTTATTAGTTTTAATCATTTTTATTAAATATAAGTTAATTGTTTGTATAGTAATATATTTTTGTAGTAATATCTTTTCTTGTAGTTATAGTTGTACTTATTTTATTTACTTTAAATTAAAAGTTACATTAGTTATCTAAATGAAATAATTATAAAAATTGATGAATTAATGTCATAAAAAATACTCTCAATAATATAGTATACTTATTTGCGAACTGTAAACAGACAATTTAAAAAAATATTACAGTTTTAAATGGCACAAAGCATATTAAGCTAATTTTTTAACATTTTAAATGAGAATCACTAATCTGCCACGATGTGCCACGATCGTGGCAAAGTGCCACGGTTGGTATTTTCCACTAATTTGCAAATATTAAAATTTTTAAATTATCACATTTAATTGATTTTGTAATAATGCAATTATATTTGTATTAAAAAAATTTTAATCTAAATTTTTAATTTAATAAAAATTTTAAAATATTTTTATTTTACAAATTTTATTACAAATATAATTGCATTATTACAAAATCAATTAAATGTGATAATTTAAAAATTTTAATATTTGCAAATTAGTGGAAAATGCCAACCGTGGCATTTTGCCACGATCGTGGCAGATTAGTCATTCTCATTAAAATGCTACGGCAAGATGTAGAACAAGAATGTTTGAATAAATTAATAGGATTTCCAGTCATTCCCAATTGTAATTACTATATTTTACAACATAATAATTATAAAATATTTTATGTTGTTATTACAGTTTATTCATACGTCTTTATATCACCTATTTATTACATTTAATTTCTGACTTGCATAATCTTGCTAAAGTTAAAAATTATTAACAGTTAATTAATTAATTACCAAACGATAAGTTGTTATTTTGTTTAATAATTAATTATTGAATTGAAAATTTAGTAAATGAGAATCTAAATCAATAAAATAGATTTGCGCATAATAGAACTTTAATATTTTCAAATAACTTAGCTAGTCTATGTTCTAGGCCAAGTATCAAACTGAGTATGTAAAATTATGCATGATTCTATTTAAAAACAAAGTGGCAGAACGATCTTATAAACCACATTATTCATACTGAATTGTGGTTAAAAATGTCATAGTAATTAAATTAGTTTATTAAAAGCAATAGTTATTAAAATTTAACAGAAGTTGTTTGAAGTCATTAACCAAATTTAAATTAAATTAGTTGTTAACAATATTTAAAAAGCAAATTAAATATTAATTGATAGTTTATTACTATAGAAACCAATTTTATAAAAATTAATATTTTTATGTAATAATTGAAATATGCTTAAAATAATATTTAGTCTAAGGAATGATTTAGTAGGAAAACTATGATCGTACCACCGTTTACTTGAGGGGACCAATTGGATCATGGTGATACCGATTTATAATTGAGTATTATTATAAATTATATATAACCCTATTTAGGTGAGCGTTATATTAATTATAAATATAATTTACACAATTAATTTGAACATAATTAAATAAATGATTTCGTATATATAAATTTTATATTTACTACAATATTTTGTGATCTTCAAATTATCTAATGAACCATTTTTAATTCGGCACTTTATTGTGATACAGTAGCCCAGTATATTCATTGGTCAATATATATCATTATTGAAATTATCGAAGAATTATAAATTATAATTTATAATTAAAATAAAATAAAGATTGGTTTATATACATAAATTGTAAATATTGTTATAAAATTGCGCTACAGGTATCTTGACACATACACATTCATAAATATCACGTTAAAATGAGTTTAATTTCTTTTTCCATTGTTTCATTATATGAAATTTACCATAATAAATGCTGAATATATTGTCCTTTGATACAGTTTATACTATTGTAGATTGAATAAAAAATTGTTTTATATAATTACAATTTTATTTCAATTGTTGAAATCAAGTCTTTGCAATTAAAAGTTTTAAAATTTTAACAAGCTGGTTAAAACAATTGCGTTATATCGTCAAAATTTAAAATCATATATAATTATTATTGTTTATAATATAATAATTATAAAGTAGTTTATGTTGTTATTACAGTTTATTCACGACTGTTCATTTTAACCATTAATTAAATTTAATCTCTGAATTGCATAATCTTTGCTGAATTTTAAAATTATTAACAGTTTATTACTTAATTTCTAATTATTAATACTGTATTAGTTTTAAAATCAAAATTAAGTAATTGCATTAATAAATGTATTACTAAACGATAACTAGTTATTTTGTATAGTAATTAATTATTGGATTGAAAATTGAGTAAAATGGTCATAAATAACTAATCACTATGCAATTAAATTTTGCATAGGTGTATCATAGTTTATTACACTTGAGCTAATTTGTCTATGCACTGTAAGAACAGGGTGTTTTGGTACCGGACTACTAAATTCTTACCATTCATTCCCATAACTTTGCTGATCGGTCTACCCAAAACTAACTATACATAAAATTATTGAATTTTAAATGTAAATATCATTAATTATTAAACTTGTATAATATTCCAGTTACGCGGCTAAATAATCTTTTTGATAAAATAATCTCAATGTTTATATTATTTAAATTATATCTAAAAGGCCAGTTACACAAAATCATTATAATTGGATGTATTTATATGTATGTTATATAGAAATCTTCACGCAAAACTATCTCATTAAATTACCAATTACCAAAAATTACCATAATTTTTTACAAATTATTAGACTGTACACTAAAATATAAATATAAAAATAAACAATTGTTAAAGTACGATGGCGCCCCCTAATGCTAACGCTGGCCCCGCTGGCCTGGTCACCATTTAATATGGAAACGATAGACCATGGTTAGGGGTCTTTGAAAATGTCGTCCATATGTCCCTAAGATATCGGGCTCGGGAGTAGTGACCACTTTTATCCGGAAAATTTACTCTAATAAAAAATTTATTTGAGTGATATATGTGTCATATTATATATCAATGGAAAGGATTTGATGAGAGGAATATGGATCTTAAGGAATTTCGTAGTTCGGATATCAGATTAAAAAGTTATTTAGAATATTAAAAATGTATTACATTTTTTGTACGTTATTTATGCTATAAACGTTATTTGTTGATGTGTCTTTAGTTATTTGTCTTTAGTTCTATCTAAGGACCTCTTATTGCAAATAATTCATATTATGTTAAATGGAGACCAGGCCAGCGGGGCCAGCTTAGCATTAGGGGGCCGTCATCGTACTTTAGTTTATAAATTCTATGGACATTTTTGTTTATTTATAATTTTTACCAACCTAGATATTTTTTATTAACATTAAACTGTACAGTAAAATATAATACATTAAATAAATAATATTGTAAAATAGTTAGCTATTTAAATGGACCAATCAGTGAACTTCGACAATAAAATTGATAAATTATAACTAATTATACCATTTTATTTTCACTTTTATTATAAAATAATGCAATTCCAAAACGATATATTGGAGGTATATTTTACTTTCAAACTACACAATATTTTGTTACAAAATACAAACAATTAAATATATCAAATGTTTAACTAATCGTAAAAATTATAATATACCGATAAATTAATAAGAAATGGTATGTAAAATTTATATTTACTATTAAAAATAATACAATATAGAAAATAAATGTTTGCTTGTTACATAATTATAAGATCTAACTACGGTAATTAAACATATTAATGTGGCACATTTACAAGTCTAGTTATTTATCCACTTATTTTTTAAAATAGTTTTAAGTGCTTAATAAATGTTATAATAGTTTACAATGCATATAATATTAGATTCTATATAAATATAATTGTTTTGTAAATTATGTTTGTTATACACTGTTTGTATCTATTGTTTAGTTTATATATGAATCTAATATATTTAATTATAATGACTGGGAAATCACAGTTAATATCATTTTGTATTTATTTTTAAATAATTATCAGTATTTTATTGATTAATGCTAAATTAAGTTTTAAATAATAGTTTTCTTCATATTAAATTAGGCAGTAATTTGGACTTTAATTACAATTAATTACTATAATACTAGTGTTATAATAGATTAGATAAATTAGAATAATAAATTAGATTCTAGATTATTTTGTAATAAATATAATATTTTTTGTAAATTTTGTTTTGTTTTTATATAAACTTAATTTATGCCGTCGCGTCCGGGTTGCTATTACAAAAATGTGTCTGATTCAATAATTTTTATTTTTGTTGCAATTAATTATTTGCAACTAAAATGTAACTTCAGCAAACACTGTGGGGGTATATTAACAATGGATGTTAAACCATTAATTATGTATTTAACAAATTCGGATTATTATAAAAACATTATATTTTTAACCAAGAAAATCTGATATAAACAAACATGACAAATAATAAATATATAATTATTTTTAAGATAACATTTATTATTGTAATTAAATAATTTAATCAATAAAACTAAATGTTAAAACAAAATATATTGTCTCTGCTTTCCCCAATTATAAATCAATTACTATTTATTAATATAAAATACGCAAAATAAATACATATTTACAGCTTATTACTATACATACCAATAAATTTATTGTATAAACTAATTGAATTGAAACTGAATCTTAGGTTAATCTCATTTATATATATTTTTTTGTTAAAATACCAAATTAAAATATTTCATAATATATTAGATCATGATTATGTCAAACAAATTGATGACTTTTTACTACTATATAAACGACATGGTAAATTTTAAAGAAATAACTAAAAACATAATTTAGTACAATTTTGTTTAGATGGGATAAACAATAAATGGGATGAAATTATAGTTAAGAATATTGTTTTAATTTACGTTTTAATATTACATTAATTTTATTAACAAATCTAAAGTAAAATCTAAAAATTAATTAATAAATTGATGTTGGAGATTTAATCCATTAACACATAAAATAGTTTATAAAATAATGACTATATAAAATTTAATGATTTTATTTAAGTAATTATTGCTAAATAAAATATTTAAATTCATAAGTTTATATTAGTAAATTTGTATCAATTTTACAATCTAAATTAATAACATAAAACTGTGAATAAAACAAGGTTGTCTGTGTTGTAGACCACGAACTAAACCAAGTATGTAGAATTGCATAAAATATTAAGTTGACTGTAATGTATGGGAAACATGCCGGTCATATTTGCACCCAGGGCGTAATAAATACATGATATATAATTTTGAATGGTATATGTTTGGGGATTAAGTTTAACACAATTTAATCCGATTAATAACAAAACATTATTAATAAATTATGCATAATTTTATTAATTCAAAATAATAAAATGTTATATTATTGTATAGTTACATTATTAAATTAAAACAATAATTGTTAAAATATTATTAACAACTAAGTTTGTAGCCGTAACCCAATTTAAACAAAATTAGTTATTATTAATATATAATAAGTAAATTAAATACTTTCTGACAGCTTTCTGACAGGAAACTATACATGCCAACAAATTTTTCTGTATAAATTAGATATTTTAATATTAATATTTGAATTTAATAATTGAAATATTTTTAAAATAATGTTTGTTGTTTAGTCCAAGTAATGTGTAAGTGATGTATGATTGCTGCAATG